GACTAGAAGCCCAGCAACAGATGGATTTACAGCAGAATTCTATCAGACATTTAAAGAAGATCTACATCTAATGCCACTTACTTTATTCAAAAAGATAGAAATAGAGGGAGAACTTCCAAATTCCCTTTATGAAGCCAGCATCACTCTAATACCAAAGACAGGTAAAGAAACAACCAGAAAAGAAAACTATAGACCCATATCCTTAATGAACATAGATGCAAAAATTCTCAACAAGATACTTGCATACCGCATACAGACACACATCAAAAAGATCATCCACCATGATCAAGACAGCTTTATTCCAAAGATGCAGAGATGGTTCAACATACACAAGTCAATAAACGTCAAAAATCACATAAATGGATTCAAAGACAAAAATCACATGCAGATGCATATAACGTCTTTGACAAAATTCAACATGCATTTATGTTCAAAGTCCTAAAGGGAATTGGACTGGAGAGAACATACCTCAACACAATTAAAGCTATACAACAAACCCACAGCCAAAATCTTTCTAAATGGAAAAAACTGGAAGCATATCCATTGAAATCAGGGACCAGACAAGGATGTCCACTGTTTCCACTCCTTTTCAACATCGTGCTTGAAACTCTTGCTAGAACAATAAGACAAGAGCAGGAAATTAAAGGAGTAATAATTGGAAAAGAAGAGTTCAAACTATCACTTTTTGCAGATGATAAGATACTATACCTAAGAGAACCTAAAAGTTCCACCAGAAAACTCCTAGAACTGATTAACACTTTCAGTATAGTGGCAGGTTATAAAATCAATCTACAAAAATCAGTAGCCTTTCTATATACCAATAACAAGCAATTGGAGAAAGAATACAGGGAAATGCTCCCATTCACAATTGCTGCAAGAAAAATTAAAATATCTTGGAATAAATCTGATGGAAGATACCAAAGAGCTCTACAATAAAAATTTTAAATCGTTAAAGAGATTGAGGAAGACACCAGGCGATGGAAGGACCTCCCATGTTCATGGATTGGAAGAATTAATATTGTTAAAATGACCATCCTACCAAAAGCAATATATATATTCAATGCAATCCCAATCAAAATCCCCATGACATAATTCACAGACTTAGAAAAATGCATCCTTAAATTCATATGGAGGCACAAAAGACCCCAGATAGCCAAAGTAACCCTGAGCACAAAGAGGAATGCTTGAGGGATTACTATACCAGATCTCAAAGTATACCACAGAGCCATAGTCATAAAAACAGCATGGTACTGGCACAAAAACAGACACATAGATCAATGGAACATCACTGAAGATCCAAACCTGAGTACATGCAATTTCAGCCACCTGATATTTGACAAAGGTGCCAAGAACACACATTGGAGGAAAGACAGCATCTTCAACAAATGGTGCTGGCAAAACTGCATCTCCACCTGTAGAAGAATGAAACTAGATCCTTATCTTTCATCTTGCACAAAAGTCAACTCAGAATGGATCAAAGAGCTCAGTGTGAAACTGGAAACCCTGAAACTATTAGAAGAAAATATTGGCAGTAATTTGCAGGATATATGTGTAGGAAAGGATTTTCTAAATCAGACACAAGTTGCTCAGGAACTAAGGTCAGCAATCAGTAAGTGGGACCTCATTAACCTAAAAACCTTCTGTACAGCAAAAGAAACAATCAAAAAAGTGAAGAGAAAACCCACAGAATGGGAAAAAATCTTCACCAATGACACATTTGACAGAGGTTTAACATCCAGAATATATAAAGAACTCAAAAAACAAAGAA